TTGTCTAGATTGTCCCCATATTTGCATCCACTTTGGGTGGGGTGTCACTTTCACAGTCATTTGCAAAAGGCCTTGGGGGAGCCTCCCACTTTTAAAATGGAATTTATGTCATATTTGGATTATTTTCTCTTAGCAGAAAGGAATTGGGGGAAGGAATAAGAGGTGTGAATTACTTGCTAAGAGGAAATGGAGAGGCGGCCCCCACTCCATGGAGCAGGATGCTGTGTTAAGACCGGGACTGGGAGGGTCTCCTAGGCAGGGGTGAGGTGACTCTGCAAGAGAGCTGGGGGTAGAATGATGGACAGGTGAGCTGGACAGAGGACCTGGTGGTCACTCCAGGGTTTCCAGCCAATGGGATTCAGGCCATGACTGGGCTCTGACCAATTTCAAAAGAACATTTCACAAATGATTCCAACCTCAGACTGTTCCTGCAAGGTTGGCAAGACTGGGAGCAGTAAGGTGGATGGAAAACCAAAGAGCCAGTGTGCGTGCCTCCCAGAACCAGCAGGAGGCCTGGGGACCCTTCTGGGAAATCAGGACACATGTGGGTCTCCCTCCTCTACAGGCCTAGAACAATTTTCAAGAGAAGGTAGGCCAGGGAGGTCATCTGAGAAGCAGCCATTTTATCCCAGAGAGACTGACCATCACTGGAGGGATGGTGTCAATGATAAGGTTGGATTAAATTTTTTTTTTTTTTTTTGTACTGGGAATTGAACTCAGGGGCACTCAACCACTAAGCCACATTCCCAGCCCTATTTTGTATTTTATTTAGAGACAGGGACTCACTGATTTGCTAAGCATCTCACCATTGCTGAGGCTGGCTTTGAACTCCTGACTTAGCCTCCCGAGCCTCTGCGATTACAGGCATATGCACCGTGTGTGGCTAGGTTGGGTTACATTTAAACTGGATTGGGCATTTATTTACTCGTAAAGTGACCAAATTAATCATAGTCAAAACAAGGGGCTACATTTTCTCTGTGCACTTGACTAATAATGCAAGTGATTTCTGTGACCCAGATGTTTAATCTCCCTTCTCCCTCACTCTCTGCTAAATTCTATTTAGGAATTGGTTCCATGGTGTCCCGAGAGATGGGTTTCCAGACTGAACCTGAGTCTCTCCAGGGACATTGTGGTTGCTACCTGATGGATCATGGTTTGAGACTTCAAGGTGTCACTGACGCTGATGAAACCCTTTCAAAGGCTGTTGGCTTTGTCACTAGAGACACACCCACAGGTACAAAGGCCTGTGCTTTGACTCCTTGGCACATGTCGCCAACGCCACTCTTAGAAGCAAAATTGAGTTTACCGGGCCTCCTTTTCTCAGTGACAGTCTGCACACAGCTCAGGGCAGTGACTGGTCCAAACCTACAGCCCTGCTCATTTTCTCAGCAGCTTCATCACAAGCTACTTCTGCGTGAGCCACCCCAGCTGCTCAGAGCATGACTCTCTGGAGGGCAGGGATTTGTTATTTGTTAACTGCTCTACTCTTAGCTCTTGGATCAATTATGAGACTCTGTGTGTGTGTGTGTGTGTGTGTGTGCACGAGCGTGCGTGCAATATGGGGAATTAAACCCAGGTTCTCACACATGCTAGGCAAGTGCTATACCACTGAGCTACATCCCTAGCCCTTCTTATTTTTAAATTTTGAGACAAGATTTCACTAAGTTGCTGAGGCTGGCCTCAAAGTTGAGATTCTCTGGCCTCC